CGTTCCTACTACTTTCTTTTTTGATAAATAGACAAGTTGGATCCAGTGTATGTCCATGTGTGTGCCTTGGTTCAGTACGCAATGAAATCTGGGAAAGTGGCTTCTGTTTAACATTGTCATGAAAGATACATTCACATGTCTTGAACTTTCTATCTTGGTTCTATTTGTATTGTTAGCTTCAAAAGATATATTCACTTCTTTGCGACTTTTATCTCTATAACATGTCTACTCTTCGTTTAGATATATTTTTTATTCCAGCTATGTTGTTGTGAGGGAGCAGGCTTCTTATGGGGAATGGTGATGATTTATTGAGCTTTCATTTTGTTCTCCTTTCTATCCCAAACATAGTTTTCGCAGAGTCGATGTATGTGTCGGTTTGCCCGGATAATCCATGTAGCGGTTAGTCTGTTTTTATTCATATAATTACTGGACTCCTATAAAAACACGGAGATGTACTGCGCTATATGTTCTCTGATCCGTTGAGCCCAAACATGTACAAGTGGATCTGACCGTTAGATTTTAATTATATTGTGGACGTTGTCATAGCTAGCAATATATAGTGCAGTTTACTTTCTTTGTCCTCTTGTGGCCACTAACTAAATCTTTTGTGTTTTCTTCTTTTGCTCAGGGCCCTATGCTCCTATAGCTTGAATTAGGGTGGTGCCAATGATTCACAAGGTAATTTCACCTCCTTTGAAAATAAAGTGTCTCCGTGCTTCACTTTTGGCCATTTTGATTCTAATGCACATATGTGCATTCCTTTTTTGTCATTTATGCGAATTGTGTACTTCTACAATGACAAATCGGTATATCTTAGCTGTATGTTGTTGAGTCATTTAAAATGGATGCAGAACCCTACATTATAAGTTGATCATGCTGATTTATAATACCTCTGATCCATAATAGGTGTCGCAGTTTTGAACATTTTGGATCGGAGGGAGTAGTTTTGTTGCCTAATATTGGTGTAAAGCTCTTGCTCTAGGCTCACACAATCTAATTATTGTTCTATATAGAACACCACCTTTTAGTTTTTTATAATCCCTCAATTTTCTACAGAAATATGTTGCCCCAATATGCCTAATTTTATATTCAGAGGTAGCATTGATGCACTTGCCTCCTTCAAAAGGCCATATGTGTTGCTTTGTGCTACTTCTCTTTCATATCCAGTTATTTAGAAATAGCTATGGTAACCTTTTTTATTGCATTCATTTAGCTGCATTTTAGATTCAATCTGTTTTCTTAACTACTTATTATAGTGTCACATGAACCTTTCTTTTACTGGCCTATATGAACAGTGCGAACACTGGTTCTTTATAAAGGCGTTATAAAGATGTAGGTACTCTTCAAAGCAATTAGAAAGAAATAAAGCCTCAATCAACGTAGTTCAGAGGATAGAGCCCATGGTGGCTACCATTGATGTCTGAATTATGAAGTACAATCTTCTGCACTTTGCTCTGCAGGCACAGTGTTACTAATTTGTGTTCAATCTCAGTATTCCATTTATCTAAATTTTGTATAGTTTGCATAGTGCTTAGGTTCATTAGCTAATTATATTGTTTTTGTAGATCTTCCATATTATCATTAGCGGTGAAGTCATTCAAGTATTGGCCACTACTATCTGCATTAGCTTCGCCTCAGAAAATAACCTTTTCACTTGGAAGGAGGAAGTAGGAGTTCTCAGTAATGGTTAACTACAAGCTACAGTAGATGTTCTTTGATTAACAAAGACAAATGTCCTACTATTATCGATGTTTCCAGAGCTTCATTCTCAATTTGTCTGTTATCTCATTATGTTTATGAGCAGCTCCAAAATCTGACACTTATGCTTGCCAGTATGAATTTCTTGGCTATATTTTATAGAACTTATGTCTTGACGCTTTGTACTGAACTTGATGCAGTCCAATTCAAGTCAGTTGTCCTGAGCAAGCATTATGTCTTGCTTTTGGTACATTTTGTGCCTTTATGCTTTGTAGTAAAGTTCAAGGCCAGTTGTCTTGGGAACAACTATACCATGCTTCTGGTATATCATTAATTTGTATGTTCTATGCTAAACTCAGTTATCTGGGCAGCAACTATATTACTTACTGTTTGTGATCCGTACAAAATAAATTTAGCTTGAGTGATTGCTCTGATTTCCTTTGGATGCACAAAATGCTTTGTTATATTTGAGTTTTATACGTTGGGTCATTGTGCTGAGCCAGGCACCGGTGCGCCAGGGCGCACTTCCGATCTAGTATACATACAATCGATGCTCCACGGAAACACATCAAAAACTGACAATTGTTGGAAAATTTATTTATTCCAGTTCTTCACCCATTCCTTCCAGTCTTTGCTGCACATCAAATCACTATTTTGACATGCACACAACTTCTGCTGCTGCATAATTCTGAGGTTCAGTACACAGTTACCTTCTTTTTCTCGCTTATAATCTGCTACATTGGAATGCCTGACACGACCGCGGTGTATCGACCAACCACTGTCTTGAGGACCTCAAACTATCCTGGAACTTGGAAGTGACAAGTAGAACCAACGCAAGCATCACCATAATCCAAACATTCTGGTTACTCTAATCTGGCACCTCTTCATTTACCATTTGAAATTTACCGCCTCCCCCGATAATCTCATGCCATTACGTAACATCACCATCTAGCAGCAGGAGCCACTGCTCAGGTCACGTACAACATGATGTTTGTGCTGTTGCAGATTCTGTCACGCATTTTGTAACAACAACAACAACAACAACAACAACAACAACAACAAGGCTGCCATCACTTCAACAATAAGGTCAATCTAACTTTGAGGAAAAATCTTTATCTTTACCTAATAATAAAGCAAATTGGGTTTCTGGTCGTCCGTCATTAGAATTACCCCCGAAGTTGGCAGAAATTACCCACTATGCCACCCGTAAGTTGAAAAAACGGTTTGCATTTATTTCAAAATCGCGCTCGGTTTGAGGTTATTAGACGTCGCTACGTTTATATATATGGATCGCCCGAGCAGCGCAGTGGCTTTGATCGCCGCCCCGCCACTGGGAGACCAGGGTTCGACCCCCAGGACTACCTCTTTTCTCTCCTTTTTTCCTATCGGCCCAGTTGTAGGTCGTAGCACACCGTTTTCCTATTTTGTTTTTTCCTTTTTAATTTCTCATTTTGTTTTAGTTTTTCCTTTTTAAAATTAATTTTTGATTTATAAAAGAACCAAATTTTAAAAAGCTGTGAGTTATTTTTTTGAGAAATCATAAATTGTTTGTGAATTCAAAAAACATTTGAAAAATCATAAAATGATCACGATTTCAAAAAATTGTTCATGTTTTACAAAACGGATCACGATTTCAAATAAATGTCATGAAATGAGAAATGTTCATGCTTTCTAAAATAATATTATTCAAAACATATTCAGGAGTTTTAAAAAATGTCCATAAAATTTAGAATATGTTCAAAAAATTGAAATAGATCCATAAATAATGAACATAACGAACCGTCGCTTAAGTACAGGTTTTATTAGGACATCTGCAGAGGTCGTTTTATGATTTTACTTAATCCCTTGCGTCGGGTAAAAAAAGGTTTTCGTATCTTGTACAACGTTGAGCCCCCCAAAATTGACACAACTTTCTGTGGGTTACATTTTGTAAGCTATATAAAACTACAACTATGCTTATTCTGGCATGATAATACTGATTATGAGAAACACCATTATGCTAGGTCAGGATGAGACACATCATTCATCAGTCTAGCTCAGACAGTGTCCATCAATGTAGTTTGCTCAGTGAATTTTTTTGTTGTGGCGCCTTAGGAGATCAAGTCGTGATAAGACCATCACATTTTTTTAAATGACTTTTTAAAAGTACCTTATCTCATCATGACATCACTCGGATATAGTTTGCGAAAATGACATTTTAAAAGTCCTTATCTAATCCGGGCATTTGATTCAGACTTTTTTTATTCTATCACATCTGTATAATCTAATAGTTTTACCCTCAAAAAATCTAATAGTTTTTCTCCCGTTGCAACGCACGGGCAAATTTGCTATAAAATAAAAAGGGCATAAGAAAATCTACAACAATCTGCTCTGTTACTCTAAGCCCTCGGCATTCACAATAAAGTAAACCCATCTACAGTATCGGCAAAAGTAGCATTTGAAACCAGACGTGCAGACAAATGTTACCTTAACATGACCGCGACGTCAGGTCATCAAGTAAAGGTGGTGTGCCCGAGACGTCATGTCTCTGAATATATATGATCGATACTCCAGAGAAATAGAAACTATAGCTGAGGTGACAGTGCAACTGCTTATCATCTTCAGGACACAAGAAAGATTGCAGTTACTTACTCCATGCTCTCAAGCAACATTCCTTTCAGTCTGTGCTGCAGATCAAATCACAAGTCTGACATGCCCACTACCGCATGTTGTGAACAAGATCATTAAAAATAGACACACAATCATATATCACATCACTTAGTGCTACACAGTAGCTACTGCCATGCAGCGACAACCAGGCAATTTAATGTTGGCCCATAGTAACATGAACAATAGTGTGGTATAACAATTTTTCCATGAAATTCTCTTATTCCAATGTTGGCATAAAGGTAAAAATGCCACACACAATGGACCTCTCGAGTATAGTATGGTGGATTTAAATCTCCATAGCTTTGGAGCATAGGTGTGGAATAGCTCCAAGGTGCAGGTCGGAACTTCTGCGTACAATTAACCCAAATTTCTCGGACATGTCCACCGACTCCGAAATGGCCCCATCAGGAAGCATCCAGTCAAAGTGATAGAGAAAGTTAGCCAATGCCATCTCTAAAACTGATGAGGCGAATGTTATCCCAGGACAAAGGCGTTGCCCGAACCCGAATGGAGTGAATTCGAAGCATGACCCATTATAATCCATGTTATTGTTTTCAAACCTCTCTGGATTAAACTCTTCAGGCTTGTTCCAGTGTTGAGGATCCCTGGAAATTGCGAAGGCATTAATGTATACATTGGTACCTTTAAGTATATCATAACCCATAATTTTGCAGTCCTCTCCATTCTTGCGGTTGAGTAGCAGGTGTATGCAATCTTAATGTTTCCTTGATGACCATCCGCATGTAGTGGAGTTCTGCAAGGTCGCTGCTGACAATGATAGCTCGGTCTGGACCTAGTACCCCACGGACCTCTAATTGTGCCTTAGCCATGGCTATCGGATGATTGATGAGTTCCGACATAGCCCACTCAAAAGTGGTTGAGGTGGTATCAGTAGCGCCTCCAAAAATGTCCTGGATTGGAATTTTTTTTTAGAAAAGGAGGAGGACCCCCGGCCTCTGCATCTGGGCGATGCATATGGCCACTTTATTAATTATTCTCACAAGACCTTATAAAGTCATACAACAGTAAGACTAAAGCCACCGTTTAAGCAACAACTGTCACTACTCCTATCCAATTGATGAAGGGGCGCTGACAGTCTGGGCCTAATACCAAACAGACAGCGTAGCCAAACCTAAACATCTAAGACCTGAGGTCCCAACCAGGACGCCTGTCGGGTATGGGGCACCTACCAGTCCGGCGCACTCCTCAATCAGGACGCCAGCCGGGTATGAGGCCGCCGCAGCCACCTGCCACCAATCCATCTTCAGTACTGTACTGCTGCACCACCTTGCCCGGCCTCTCTGCCATCGACGCCATCACGACGTCTGATAACGTCACCCTCCTGCGCGAGTCCCTCGCCACACATCAGGCGCCGAGTCTTCACTGCGCCACGCCGCCGAGAAACGCCACCATTAGTGTGCAGGATGAATCACCGCTCCACCAATTATCCGTTCACTGGTCCCTCGATCCCGTGTACACCTCCAAGAATGACGCCACAAGAGGGAAACGACACAATAATGCCACCGTCTTCCGATCTACTGATCTAGGGTTTCCCCCGGAGGTAGCAGATAGTGGCCTGAAACTTCTCAACAGCGATGCCTTCAACAAGGGATCGACACAGAATAGTGCCACCATCGTCGGCCTCGGCAGCAGCCGCGAGCAGGTCTTCACCAAGATCTGTTCCAATGGCCTCCATCAAGCGTCTTGTGCACGGATCGTCCACCATCACGGCCGCCGCGTCGCCCGTCGCGAGTCCACAGCCACCGACACATCCTCCGCCGTCCGGGGCCGCCGCCCCGGGATCCATCCCTCGTTGGCCGCTGGAACGAAGCCACCGAGCCCCATCAAGGGCGGCCAACGGGGGCGGAGAAGCTAGATCCGGCCAAGCGCGGCCAGGATCCGACCTCTCCCCGCGCTGAAGCCAAGGTTGCGCCCGCAGGGCCAGGTCCGAGCCGGATCCGCGCCTACGCCAGCCCCGATCCGCCGCCATGCCATGGTCTTGCACCGTGCAGCCACCACGGCCTGGACGCCCGCCCGCACCGCACGGCCGAGAGCCCCGCCGCCGCCACGCCCCACACCAGCGTCACGCCCCCGCCGCATCTCGCGCTGCCGCCACACACCAGGAGGGGAAGAGAACCCCGCCGCCGCCGACGCCCACGGGCTTCGCCCTGCGGCGCCCTTCGGCGGCGGCAGGGGAAGGGAGGTTGGAGGAGGCGGCCGCGGAGTTGAGTCTAGGGTTCGCCCAACGCCGCTCGCGAGGGCGACGCGGGGCGTGCGGGCTCTTCCCCTCCTGGATTGGACATAGACAATCATTATTTCGAAGAAATGCTATCCAATACAGAGCTATTAGTTCTGTATTGGATATTAAAGTTTAAATAGTCTATTCCATGCTTGCTGACGGAGATTTATAATTGATCGAGTATTCTAGGATTTTGCACACACACAGAAGGTCAATTACTTCTACTTTATGATCAGGAAGAGTCCCCCTGCCCTCCTGTAGAGGTAAGTACAAAAAATGTGTGTCAGACATATAGTATTAACCATAGTTTAAAAAAGCCGGACCACGGTGAATCATTCAGGCGACTGATACAATTCACTGATTCGGTGGTCGGACCGCCGGCTCACCTGGTTTGTTGGCGACAAAAACCATTCTTTTTAACTAAAATTTAAGGAATTTCCGGAATTTTTTTGCCGCATAATGTATATATAGTGTATACTTGATACTTCAAAATAATCCAAAACCAGGTCAGTGCAAGTGGTATTGTGCCTCGCCATGGTGTACTGATTTTCTCCTGTTTTTCTGTTTTCGACCGGTGCCTCTAAACTATGATATTTACTGATTTAGATTTTAGAAATGATATCTAACACACTTATCTAGAAAAAAGTTCAACCATGAGTATCTTTTTGTTTTGTGAGGGACCAAGCTATGATGCTAACTTTAGAAAGTCCAAAGTGAGGCCGAGCTACATCTAGCTCGGTTAAAAAAAATTGAATCTGCATTTATATGTTTTAAAAAAATTGAAAAATATTCTCTGGTGTAGATAATATCGAGATCTACCATTGTGAAAAAAATCAATCACAAATTCGTCGTATTTTGGCCTGGGGCAAAAAGACAATTTGCAGATCTGGATCGGTGAACAGTGTACAGTCTAAAAAATTCAAAATTTTGCGAGATTTGTCATTTTTGTGTAGCCTAGAATAATACTCTCCCGTCCGGAAATATTTGTCAAAGGAATGGATGTATCTAGACGTATCTTAGTTTTAGATACATACATTTCTATGCATTTCTCCGACAAGTATTTTAGGACGGAGGGAGTACGAACTTTGACTTGAAAATTTACAGACGGGTAGATCTCGACTATAGCTATATCTAGGATTGTTTTCGAATTTTTCGAAACACAAAAATGCAAATAAAATAAAATTATAAACAGAGCTACATGTGTAAGTCGGCCTCAAAAACACCGCTCTCGCTAACTTTTCTTTATATTAGTAGACATGATCAGATGCATGATTCTGCCCAGACGTACAGATTTCTTGATAAAGATGTGTCTTAAGTCGTAACCAAGCACATGCATGAGATGGCAATAGAAAGGAAAATATATACTCACAAACAAGACGGTGGTCATCATCTCTGTGGTTAGAGGGGATTCCAGCGAGTCCTCCTCCTGGCATGTGAGCAGCACGTCTAGCAGCCCACAAAGCTTTTTTGTAGCTACTACATGGAACCTCTTATTCTCAACTCTTCAGCCTTGTTTTGAGATCCGTACTCTCCAACTAGCAGCCCTTCGTCGCGTACTGGCAGCTCGCACCGCCTTGCACTCGACGAGGATATCGGTGATGATGCGCTGCATGAGGTCGAGGCTGCTCTTCATGCGGCGCTCCTCGCTGCTCAGCCACCGCACGAGCCTCGAGGACGGGAAGAGGTCGACGAGGGAGAAGCCTCCCAGAAGGTTCATGACCTGGTGAGACGCGTGGATGTAATCCTCCCGCTGGCTGAACTTGCCGCCGAAGACCGCCCGTGCCACGACGTCGTTGCTCAGCGCCGCCACCTTCTGGCTGACGTTGACGGTGGCGCCAGGTGATGCCGCCATGGAGCGGAGGAGGCTGCCCATCTCCTCGGACCTGACACTCTCCATGCGCCTGACCTGCTTGGAACTGAGGAACTCCGTGGCGCACACCTTGCGCATTCGGCGCCAGTGGTCGCCGTAGGGGGCGAAGCTGATGCCCATGCCACCATAGCCGACGATGTCCTGCATCCCGGTGGTCCGCCGGTTCGCGAACAGGAGGTCGCTGGCCTTCATCATCTGCCCCACCGCCTCCGCGCTGGAAACCACCACGGTGGGGACCTCGCCTAGCTGGAGGTACATCATGGGCCCGTGCCAGCGACACAGCTCTGTCATGGTGCGGTGCGGGAGGACGCTGACGACGTGGTGGAGGCTGCCGATGATCGGGAGTCTCCATGGCCCTGGAGGCAGCCGCTGCTTCTTACCGCCGGAGAGCTTGAAAAACCAAAGGGCCAGTAGCGTGGATAGTGCTATCAAACTTAAGGTCAACCACCCCTCCATGATATGATTTGCAAGTGAGCACTTCGCTCCTCCTGTCCATCAGCTAATAATGGCCAACCAGCCATGCCAAATTCTAGTTTGCATCCTGTGCCTGGCAGAAGAGTAAAAAAAAAGACGTATATTGTTCAACTCGTGCAGTTTGCATCTGGATCTACATATCAACTATTACTACCAATTGCCCGTATACTTTAAGACATTGGGACTCGTAGTCAAGGCTCGTTGATGGTAGTAATTTGAGACGCTTGAGATGTATTCAGCCAGCCAGTCCCACACTCCAACAAGAAGAGGCCTTTCACTTAGTACAGATATACGCGCTAGTTGGGCTTGTATATTGAGTAGGTGCGATGCTGACATGTGTAATTTTATACTACCTCCTGTCCTTTTTAGTTCGCATATAAGATTTGTATCAAGTCAAATCTCATAAAGTTTGACCAACTTTATAGAAAAATATACGTACATCCATAATGTGAATTCATTATCATCAGATGCGTCTTGACTTAAATTTTCATATTGTATAACTTTAGCATTGTAGATGCTGATATTTTTTCATATAAATATGGTCAAACTTTACAAAGTTTGACTTCAGACAATTCTTATATGTAGAGTAAAAAGGACCGGAGGAAGTACTTAGTAGGTGGAGGGCCTCCTCCTCGAGCATCGTAAGATTTTGGGTTTAATTTTGCACATACACTGGATCAATTAGTTCTACTACTTTATGAATTGGAAGAGCATCAGTAAAGGTAAGGTAAGTGCAAACAAATGTGTTCCAAACATTAAAAGATTTAGAGCAAACACTAACCCGATGGGGAGCCGCTGCTGGTGCGGCTCATGCATGCAGGAGCGTGTTGTGTGCAGGCAAATGCTGGCGCTTCGTCCGCCGGCACGACGCTGCGCTCCAGTTCAAGCTCATCCCTATGCACGGCATGGAGGAGGTGACTGTAACGTTCCAAGACCGAAGCTTCAGATGCCTTTTAGGGTTTACGGGTTTTTCGTCATGTGAGTTGTTGGTTTATTGCATTCAGCTTTGCATCATGTGCATTGCATCATGTCATCATACCATCATGTTATTTATTTTTTCTTAACTCAACTAAAAAAATGGCATGGATCTTTGATCCATTTAAACCGATAATGAATTCTTTTTATAACATATCCTCCCAATATTTTAGGGAGCTATATTAAATATTCTATTAATTTGGAATCATCAAAACACACTTGCAGATTAATTCCCCATGCCTTTGTCCCATGCATCATCTCCTTCTCTTTTCCTTCTATTTCCTTTCTTTTGCAAGTGCCATTTTCCCCTTCTCTATTAATGTTCATTCTTTTCCGATAAATTCTTAACCATGCCTGCAACCTCTCAGTCAAATTTCAGATCCTTTGGAGTTGTTTTGGTTAGGTTCAAAAATGCCTCAAGTTTGAATCATATTTAAACTTGTTTTATTTTTTTCTACCTCTAAAAATATCCAAGACAATTTAGCAAATAGAGTATAGTTCCAGAAGATTGAGGATATTTTTATATCTGAAAAACTCCTCTTCTAGCCCCCTGTCCTTTTTCTTTTATTGTTACTGTTTATCTAAATAAACATGAAGTAAATGATAAAAGAAAAGGTTTTCCTGGGCCTCCCTAGGCCAACTTCCGCTCCGGCCCACCTAAGGCCATCCCGTCCCGCAGGCCGGCCCATCCTCCCCCCCAGCCCACCTAACCTAACCTAAACCTAGCCCGAGCCCCCCGTGCACCCCCTCCTCTTGGTCTCCCTCGCGCCGCCAGGAGACAGCGAGCGTGCTGCCTCGCTCGATCCCCTTTTCCCCTCCCTCTTCCTCTCGCTCGCAGGGAGAGAGCAGCAGAGCCAGTGCTGCGCCTCCCTACGTTTCTCCTGATGCCGAGCTCCACCACGGGCCCTGACGTCGGCGACCGGCGTCGTCCCGTCCGCGCCTCCTCCTCCCTCCGCTTGGCCACGACGCCCCGCGCCTCTCCGCTGCCTGCATCCCCATGGCGCCCGCGTTCCGTGCCCGAGGCCTCCTCCTCGACCTCGCATCCCTCGCCGTCTGCAACCTCCGTCCAGCGAGTGGCGCCGCGTATCCTCGCACCTCCCGACCCGGTGCTCCCCTGCACATGCGCCCGAGGCCGCGGCTTCCTCGTCCCGGTCCATGGCGGACTCGCCGGAGCCCAGCCGTCGGACCAGCAGCTCCCGCACCACGCCTCTGCTCCGCCCTCCGCCTTGCTGCCCCGACGTGCCTCGTCCTCGTCGCCTTGCTGCACCACGCCTGTTGCCGGACCTCGCGTCGCCGGCCCGCCGCCCTGAAGACTGCGCCCTGCCAGACCTCCCCTGCCGCTCCCTGCATCAGGCCTACCGCCGACCCTCCCATCCGCAAGCAACTCCGGCTGTTGCTGTTGTCGCAACGTCCCCAAACATGAGCACGACCACGGACGGCTACCTCCATATGGATTTCGTCAAGTTCCGCTTCCACAAGTGTACCCCTACGTGTTGGATTCGTCAAGTACCGCACCGGAACGCCAAGTACATGGATTTGCCAAGTTTCCCTCCGAACATGTATGAATATGTCCGGTGATGCGACAAGTACCCCGACAACGTGTACATCTACTCCATCAAGACCGGACCGACAAGTACCCCAACGTCGTGTGTACCACTACCGTCGCCCCGAAGACGTTGGAGTCATCAAGTACCTCACCGAACGAACGTGAACGACTACCGTCGCAAGAACGGGACCGGAAAGTCCGAAGACCCCAAGTACCACGACACCGATGACATGAACATCTACGGATACTCGTGCTTCAATAAACATGTACCACTACCATCGTCGAGATCGCGAGAACCTCTACCGTCGACCCTAGAGCATGCGAGATCGACTACTTCCACTACCGCCGTCGCGAGAACGCCTACTTCCCTCCACGAGCGAGAACCGTCCCCTTTGCACGCTCCGAAGGTATAACCTCGAGACGACGTCCGTGAACGAATGCTTGCGATGTTTGAGATGCTCGTGTTTGCACCGTGTCCAATTTGTCACTCGTTCCTTGTCGCCCACTCGTGCGACATCCGGAATTCGGGAGCGCCCCACCATTTTTTGCACGCATCCGCACACTTCTCCTTTGCATCGGTATCTCAATCGAGTTACCGGAACCGGAACGCTGTCGTGGCATCGTTTTTGTATCGTTGCCGTGGCACCCCTTTCCTTTCCACCACGGTGACAAATGCTTCATAATGCTCTTATCAAGTTTTAATAAAAAAATTGCATAAACTTGTTCATGTCATCCGCATCATGATAACAACAATTAAAATGTTTAAATTGTTGTTGCACCAAATTGCTAAATGCATATGGGGATTTAGCGGAATTGTTGTTTGTTATTTCCGGCCTCATTTAAACTTGCCTAAATGTTTAGTTTACTCATGTTTCATCTCTTGCCATGTTTAACAACATTTAATATTGTTGGGTACATAAACGAGAGTGAACTAAATAAGTCATGTGGTGTTTCGTCAATATGCAACTTGTTGCATATTGAGCTCCACTTAATTTATAGTATTGTTTGTGCATTTTGCCATGCCATGCTTCATTAAACCGGACATGCATCATACTTGATTGTGCATCATGCCATGTTTATGTGGTAGTTGTTTACTATGTTGTTTGCTTCTTTCCGGTGTTGCTTCTTCGGGTTAGTTCAGTTAACGTCGCGTTTGTGAGGAACCATTCGACTATGTCCGTTTATCCTCTTCATGGACTCGTTCTTCTTCCTTGCGGGATTTCAGGCAAGATGACCATACCCTCGAAATTACTTCTATCTTTGCTTGCTAGTTGCTCGCTCTATTGCTATGCCTATGCTGCGATACCTACCACATGCTTTATCATGCCTCCCATATTGCCATGAGCCTCTAACCCACCTTGTCCTAGCAAACCGTTGTTTGGCTATGTTACCGCTTTGCTCAGCCCCTCTTATAGCGTTGTTAGTTGCATGTAAAGATTGGAGCTTGTTCCATGTTTGGAACATGGATATTTTGTTGGGATATCACAATATCTCTTATTTAATTAATGCATTTATATACTTGATAAAGGTTGGAAGGCTCGGCATTATGCCTGGTGTTTTGTTCCACTCTTGCCGCCCTAGTTTCCGTCATATCGGTGTTATGTTCCCGGATTTTGCGTTTTTTACGCGGTTGGGTTATAATGGGAACCCCTTGACAGTTCGCTTTGAATAAAACTCCTCCAGCAAGGCCCAACCTTGGTTTTACCATTCGCCACCTACCTTTTTTCCCTTGGGTTAGGCCAGCCCAAGGGTCATCTTTATTTTAACCCCCCGGGCCAATGCTTGTCTAAGTGTTGGTCCGAAATGGGTAGCCTGCGGGGCCACCTTAGGGAAACTTGAGGGCTGGTTTTACTCGTAGCTTGACCTATCCGGTGTTGCCCTGAGAACGAGATATGTGCAGCTCCCATCAGGATGTCGGCGCATCGGGCGGTCTTGCTGGACTTGTTTTACCATTGTCGAGGATGTCTTGTAACCGGGATTCCGAGTCTGATCGAATCTTCCCGCTAGAAGGAATATCCTTCGTTGATCGTGAGAGCTTGTGATGGGCTAAGTTGGGACACCCCTGCAGGGATTCGAAAGCCGTGCCCGCGGTTATGGGCATATGGGAATTTGTTAATGTCCGGTTGTAGAAAACCTAAAGTTTAACTTAATTAAAATGCATCAACCGCGTGTATAACTGTGATGGTCTCTTTCCGGTGGAGTCCGGCAAGTGAACACGGTGTTGGAGTTATGTTTGACGTAGGTTGTTCTAGGATCACTTCTTGATCATAGTTTCTCGACCGTGTTTTGCCTTCTCTTCTTGCTCTCATTTGCGTATGTTAGCCACCATATATGCTAGTCGCTTGTTGCAGCTCCACCTCATACCTTTTACCTTACCGATAAGCTTAAATAGTCTTGATCGCGAGGGTGTGAGATTGCTGAGTCCCCGTGACTCACAGATACTTCCAAAACCAGCTTGCAG